AGTTCGAAAACGGTATACCTGACGAACATACATGTCATATACATGTCTCCTATCGACTTACATTTTCAGTTCCGAGAGCCTTCATGCTCTCCAAAAGGCCTTGTCGAATACCTGCAGGTGTATGGTTGTACTTGCCGCCAGCAGGTGATAGTTTTGTATCCATGACAATGCCTCTCTTTTGCCAATCTAGTTGTCTAAGGAACTCTTCAGAGCTCCCTCCGCCGTACACTCGGGCTGTGTCGACCTCTGAGTGACCAAACCCTTGAAATACATCTAAGATTTCTGCACATTCTTCCAAGGTATGAATTCGAGCTTGGTCAGCACCTTGAAGGTTACAATTAGCATACATAACGCTCCTCATAGGCTGGATTTACAAACCTTTCTCTCCAAGGGTCATAGCCCCAAAGACTATTTTTAGTGCCGAGTTAGAATGTGAACCCATCTTTTGTTACGATTTCTCAGTCCTAACTCTCCTCTAAGTGAAATGGTATAATCTGTATATATGTTTAAGCAGTGAAATTAATCACCAATAGCATAACCACCACGTCGCGAAATTTGTCCTAGATATACCAATAGTTCTGGTTCTGATATACGGCGGGGTAAATACGAAATGCTCAACCCCGCAATTCAGAATGGTGCCATAGGTATTAGCACGATGAAAACAGGGAATGGGGCAAAATTCGGGCCCTGAGCGGTAATAAAATCCATTTGCGCCATTTATTGGTGGAAAATTGACCATTTGACCAATATTTTGCATAAAGAGTTGAATTTTTTCACTGCTATCTTAACAGTTGAACTATACCTGGAGCTATAAAGATATTTACAAGCGGAAAGACTCTTCTGGAGGCTGTACTGATGGTATTCAATGTATTTCGGAGAGTACTGAAGAGAAGAATGTGCTAATTGGGATGAGTCTGTAACTATTTCATATATGATGTAACTATAAGTCTATTGGATTATACTGATAACAATTATCTATTTGTTGTAGTAATATCTTCTCAAGAAAGCTGGCTGTCTAATTGATCTTTTGGGTTGGGGTCGGGTAATTCATTTAGCGCACTTGGACATTTTACTAATGAACAGGTAATTTAAATGCAGTCATTCACTTTGTACTTTCCTGTCCAAGTACTTGGTTAGAAATTTATATGAAAAATACATGGAAGTTAAGAGACGCTGCATAACGCGTGGAACTGACTGGAGTCCACTGCTATTTCAAGGGATTGATGTACCAAAGCTGCTGCTGGGCTGTTACCTTTAGGTAAAAGGGTATTTGTAGACGGGTATTTTCTCATGCCATATGAGATTGAAAAGTGCATATCACGAACTTGGGATATCTTTTATATCCATGCTTTGGTAAAGAAATCTCCCATAGCAAGTTTTGCAAGTACACATGTGCTGCGTGTGGGAATCGTTGCTGTGGCGCTTCGTATCAGCGGCAGGCCTAAACCGGCAATTATGGCTGTTCTGAGGTGAGCTACCTGTTAGCGTGGCGTCTCAGGGCATCAATGGTAGAGCCGCCCTGGACTGTTTTAATTCATAACCTTTCTATATAGCAACTGGTAGACTAATTATTAATAGCGACTTCTATCCGATGAGAATTTAGAATTCGGTGACAGCTGTAACTGGTAAACTCCGATCCATGTAAAGTCGGAAACGCCCCGCTAGATATCAGCCTGACAGTTTCTATTTGTCTGAAAAGACAATTCTCAAGACAGTAATTAGTGACCATTATATGTCTAGTCGCTTTGCTATTTAAGGAGCATTATAAATGGAACACTCTGTTGTCTGAATATACATTAATGATGGCTAATGATTTAGGGCTCTTGGGTAGCATGCGTCTCTACAGCGAATTATTAATGTAATTCCTGAATGCAGTCAGTTTACTCCTAGCGAGCGAGCTTTATATAAAGAAGGATCTCTTTGCGAATTAGAGTAATATTGTCGCACGTTCTATCAAAAGCATTATCTAAAACAGTATCCAAGCTTCATCTCACAAATATCCTCATATTCATTGAGCGCGATTCATCTATATCACGGCGCACGATGGCAGACAAAATCCCCAAAGCTATATACCAGTGGAACGTCACTGAGGGAGAAGGTTTTCAATCTTTAAAGTACTCCGAGCAGCCCCTTCCGCAGTTAGGAGACAGCCAAGTACTTGTTAAATGTAAGCTTTACTATAAAGATGCCACTTATATGCATGCCACATCCTAACCAGTTCATACAGTGGAAGCGGCATCACTGAACGTAAGTTAATACACACTAACATTGTAACTATTACCGCTAACCAGAGGATTTATTCCCCAGTATCGAGATCTTATGATAATACAAGGGTTCACCGCACACATGGTTGGCCCTAACCCGAACGTCATCCCAGGCTCTGATGGGGCTGGAACTGTCGTCGCAGTTGGGAAGCATGTCCGTCGCTTCACACCAGGCGATAGAGTTGTCACGGCATTCTTCCAAGACTACGTAGGCGGGCGCTTCCAGCCTAGTATGGCCGCTTCGATGCTCGGAGGCACTCTTGATGGTACGCTTCGCACCTATGGAGCGTTCAATGAACAGGGACTGGCACGAATCCCATCGAATTTGAGCTTTCTGGAAGCCTCAACGCTGAGCTGTGCTGGATTAACCGCCTGGAGTGCTCTCTTCGGGCTGTCTGATTACAAACTGAACGCTGGCCAATGGGTACTGACCCAAGGCACCGGAGGAGTCAGCGTATTTGCGCTGCAGTTTGCCAAAGCAGTCGGCGCAAGAGTCATAGCAACTACGGGTTCCAGCGACAAGGTGAATTTTTTGAAGGATCTTGGAGCTAATCACGTTATAAACTATAAAGAGGACTCCGAATGGGGCGCTACAGCCAAAAAGCTGACGGGAGGTGTTGGCGTTGACCAAGTTGTGGAAGTTGCTGGCCCGGTGTCCATGGCGCAGAGCTTGAAGGCTATCAAGGTAGATGGCGTCATCAATATTGTTGGCTATCTGGGAGGTGCTGAAGGCAAACAGCCTAGCTTCTCGGACAGTTTCGCGCACAGGTGTATAGTGCGGCCTATTGCTGTAGGATCAAGAATCTTGCTGGAAGATTTGTGTCGCGCAGTTGAGGCCAATCCGGAGAAGCTTCGACCGGTGATTGACCCCAAGACGTTTCGTCTGGCTCAACTCAAGGAAGCATGTGAGTATCAGTGGTCGGGGCAGCATAAGGGAAAGGTTTGCATTGAGATTTCCTAAGATGGAAATGAGATTCAAAGGGCATCCGGAAGTTGTAGAAACGGCGTCAGGGTTGAAAATGCCTACATGTATCTCCATGTCATCACGCCCTATGTAAATCCTTATGCAGCGGTTTACTGCACGAAGCATTATTTATGCTCACACACTCTAGACACCTTTGTATAGATACTAGATACTAGGCACTCCGTAATACTATGTACGAATGCGCCATCACATCCTCGCGATAAGCACCTCGTGATAAATTGTGCGTGATTCGCTAGCTACTATATGCGATATATTAATTGAATCCAAGGTGGCGTCATTAGTCCACTAAGGTCCATCAACCCCGCCCCCTCTGTGCGACCCCTCCTTACTTTCGCTCCCAGGCGCCGGTGATACTGCCAGGCTGCAGGTTGGCCTTCATGTTTGTGAAGTTGACCACGTCGCCGATGACAATCTTTGACGCTTCGTGCGCAAGCGCCGCTTCGGCCTGGCCTTCATTTTCCCAGTTCAAGACGGCGACCACGTGGAATGGGGCATCAGGGCCAAACTGGAGGACCTGCCAGCTCTTGAGACCGAGAGGCGTCCACTGCTCGTTCGCGATGGGCATGTGTTTGTTGATATAGTAATCCATATCGAAGTACTCGCCCTCCTTGGGCTGGTTGTAGAAAACTGTGACGTTGGAAGGCATTGTATTGTGTTGGTCTGTTGCTGTGCACAAGGTATTTAGCTTGGGTCTCGTAGTATTGTTATTGTTGGGCCGGTTCGTACTTTAAGATTGAGTTGCTGGTCAAAAGCTGAATCTGCGAGTTAACTGATGGCGTTGAAGCTCGACTGTCTGTTGGATGAATACCTAGGTATTTATTTATCCGCCGAGAGCTTTCCGAGGATGCGGCTTTGTGCCGCGCCGGGTGGGGCTTCGGACTAATGACTTGATGTGTCGGCGGGCTTACGAGACATTTACTGCATTCAACCAGCTACCCAGACTCATTGCCCTTTGTCCGAATGTTCGTTGAGCTTCCATGCACGAGATTACAAGAGGAGAAGAGGGCCTAGGGAGACACGGATTTGGGAGGATCGCCGTAAGAATCGATATTTGCAATAAATGATAAAACTTTGCTCGGTAGCGTCTACCCTGGATGCTCTGGACAGAGCTTTTCTTCTGCGTTCAACATTTACAATGTATAAGCCCGCATTGCGCCTTAAGAGGAAGTTCTGCTTTCGGATTACCAAGCACCTACCCAGGGAAGATAGCTGAGAGTTAGATCAAATCATGTATTATAAATCAACATTCTTTGAGGTTTAGTCTGTGAGGGAGCTGTAAATCGTTACGGTCCCACTGATAGCTTGTAAATGCAAGCAGATACCGAAAATTGGCGGTTTACGTAGCTTTTCAGTGTTACCAACATATATGTATACACTTATTGCATGCCAAGTACGTAAAACCCAATAGGGGTAACTATATCAGTTCCCTCTGTACCTGACTCAAACCAAAAAGTGGCCGCTGAGGAGACATTGATAGTACACTCCGGTGGATAGCTGGTGATTTTTGATCTTTGGTACGAATGCACGTGTCTGTCTCCCTTTGCTGCATACACACACACAAGCTGCAAAAGCGAGCCGAATTGCTAGCTATATTGGCATTGAAGTTGTTAGATCTCCTCTCTCCGTGATAAAAAAAAATTGGCTTGGCTTGGCTTTTTGATGCATTCAAAGAGAAGTGTCGCACTACTGCGGGGAGCTGCCCATAGCTGCCATTAGCGTTAGCCTTTTGGCCCAAAAAAGGGCAAAAAGAGTGCCATTACGAGGAGTCGAACCTCGGTCTTCAGTGGTTTGTAGTAATACCACAAACTGATGTCTTAACCGTTGGACCATAATAGCTAGCACTTGATGATGCTACAGTCGGCGGATAGTTACCATATGAAAGTATGATAACGACCATGAGAAACAATTCGCACCTTGTCCCAAAGAAAGCAGCCAGATCTTGCTCGTGATTCGGATCTGGAATTTTCAAGCATCTCATCTCATCTCATTTTACTTTATTTGATAATTCGCCCCTGTTTTCATGTCCCGCGCTGCTGGTTGTGAGATGCACTGGCGCTAAGAACCTGGCAGTAAATCACTTGGTATGAGGCTATGAAGACAAACGATATGATCGTCAGTGCGCATCATGTTAAACTTCTTGCCTGTAGGTAGGTAACACACATATTTTTCTCTCTCTTCTCTTTAATATAGGGCGACGCCAATAACACTTTTTCTCCTGCAAAATATCGAATAAGGTGACCGGTTGGGCACAGGATGCCCCTCGAATGGACGGTGATGCGCTTCCGAAATATACATTCAGACCCTTTTCTAATACCAATGACGATGCTAAAATAGATCAAACTTGCTGCCCATACCTCCTTCATCCGGCTTTTGCTGTGTCACGAACAGCCTCTTCCGCCTTGGAATTTGTGCCGTGTATATCGGGCGCCGTCACAAGTCCGGGCTGTGATTCCACCACCTTCCATTTTCATGACAATTTTGAAGAGGCTCAATATCTTCATAAATCTAACTACGGTTACCGTTGGCATAGCATAAATCGCTTTTGTAGTCACTACGACCTCCAGTGCAATTATTCGCGCGGCTATCTTCGTCAAATTTACGAACCTGTCTCCATTTCTAGATGCTATGATCGCCAAACCCCTAAGCTTCACCGCATATCGGCGCAGAGAATAGCAAAAAAAGAAAACCACCTGCTATTTTAGAAAGGAACTTTCGCAAATGGTACAATTGTTTCCCTTCATTGTCAATACGAGCTTTCCTCTCCTAGTCGACTCCGACTGCCAAGGACCAATGACGGTGGCTCACAAAAATAAGATTAGCCAATAAATTAAGCTTATATGTCTATTCTCCGTTCTCCGTTCTCCGCCCAAGCTGATCTACTGCTCTTGGCCCGAATGTCACCTCACTTATCAAGGAAAATGCTATAATAGCGAGGGCATTAGGTTTGTGCGCGGCCTCTCATTGCCGGATCGGGAAGCTCCATAAGCTCCCAGATAAGTCGTCATACCACAATACAAATGAGATGATTGGTCGCTACCGCTTGCTGATATGGCAAGTGGCAGTGAATTTATGCCTAGAAAATATGGCTAGTTCTCAATCCGAGCCTTCCTGCGCGTATCTCTTGCGACGCCTCTTGCAGTGAAAGCATAAAATGGGTTATTGGCCCGTTCATACTGGACGTTTTTGACTGCTTGTAAGAATACCTATCAGACTTATCGACTTGAGCAAATCTTGGAAGAAAATAAAAATGATTACCAAAATTGCCATATCTCTACTTGTGGCAGCTTATCCGCTTGCTCTCTCCGCGCCACTGGCTAGTAGTGACTCAGAGCTCCGCCTCATCAAGACCTCTGAGGCTGATGTAGGCCAATGGATAACTGAACAAGAGAAATTCGACAGATTCATCTCAAAGAATATAGGATTCATCGATATTACTGACATCAAGGTGGGTATCTCGATATAGGATTCACCATCGATGGAATACTATGGCCAGCTCTTTTAATAAAGTCATCATACAGGACGACGAAGTGTTATCTGTTCTATCCACCCCATCTTCAGAAGCCTCCATCTCCACTCGGGCGGTTACCTATCCAACTAGAGTCGAGCATGTAGACGAGGCAAAGCCGCTCATCGCGAATGTGTCCACCAGTGGCCCACAGAGCTGGCTAACCACGTTTACGCAGTGCGTATTGCACTATTGCTGGCTATGTTGTTGCGTGGTGATATTAACTGTAAACTAGATTTACCACGCGACACTACCGTTCGACTACTGGCACTCAAGCCTCCGCCTGGCTCTTCGATCAGGTCTCCAGCATCGCATCTGTGAGACCCGAAATTACTGTGCAGAGGTTCACTCACACATGGAACCAGCCCTCTATTATTGCTCGCCTGCCCGGTCAGAGCTCCAATCTAAGTAAGTTCGCAGCCTTTGTAAAATTGGTTACCGTTAAGCCGCTGACGGACTTTAAGTTATTGTGGGAGCCCACATGGACTCTACCGCTGGCTCTACTACGGCCCGAAGTCCTGGTGCAGATGATAACGGCTCAGGATCTGTTACCATCTTGGAGGCCCTACGTGTCATTGCCAATTCAGATTTTACTCCTAAAAACACCATTGAGTTTCACTGGTACAGTGGAGAGGAGGGAGGGCTCCTTGGTTCTCAGGCGATCTTTTCAAATTATAAATCCACCAAAAAGAGTGTGCTCGCCATGCTCAACCAAGATATGACTGGATATTCGCCGAGTAACCAGCTAGCTGTATATACTGATAACGTTGATGCGTCCTTGACTCAGTACGTTAGAGTAATTGCTACTCAGTACACAGGTGCCGCTCCCCTGACCACTCGATGTGGTTATGGCTGCTCCGATCATGCCAGCGCTCGATCCAACGGTTTCCGTCAGTTACGCCCCAGCCTTGAGAAGACGGCGGTTTTACTTACTCTGGTTAATAGCATCTGCTTTCGTCAATGAAGACACATTCGAAAAGTCTAACCCCAACATCCATAGTGCTGCAGATGTAAGGTTCACCGTGGAATTTGTTTAGCTCTGGCTCACATATTCATAGTCTCTTGAGAAGATTCAATGGCCGGCTATTCTTCGACATGCCAAATTTACAGTCGGGTTCATCGTGGAGGCGTCTTACATTTAAATTATTTTACGGCTGGCTTCAATACCGATGCGCGCTGACCACCCCCCAATGGTTGCTTTAGATGCGATTATGCTAGAAAATTAGTGAAGAATTAAAATTATTTGTAATTTGTCTTCACTTATCGCCACTGAAAGAAAGTATCATAAGATACAGTCCGCTAATATCGCTTATCCAGATTACGTCGCTTCTATTAACATCAGTTTGCAAAACGTAATTACTGTACTTGTCTAAAAATAATATAAGCTTTTATTTAAATTAGTGTTGTTATCTTCTAGTATTTGCTTGCTTGCACTATATAGCAGGCAGGTTTTATTTGACTGTATGTCTCAGTGTGGATTACAAAAATTGAGTGCCATATCCTGTATCTGGCCCTCTCTGCACATCGACGGCTTGTGGCTTTCCGTAAGAATAGCCACTTGCAAATGTTCCCTCATATGTCGGATATGGAATTTCTTTCCAAATCTTTTGAATCTTCTTTGCCGCTTCCAAAAAGTTCTTTCGAATCTTAGGATATTCGCCATTTACCAATTTTTTATCCTTCTTGACAAATTTGCCATCGATCAGCACATGCAAAATGTCTCCAATATTAGCGTGTAAAATAATTGCCGCAACGGGATCCTCCCATCCTAGCATTGAAGGCGAATTTTCTGCATCCCAGACTACCAAATCAGCTTTGGCGCCGACTTTGATAACACCAAGATCTGGGCGCCGAAGAGCCAGTCCTCCAGACCGAGTGGCTAGCAAAAATGCCTGGTTGACGCTCATAGGGTTATATGTCGGCACATTCCAGTTCTCCAAGACTTGGTTATAGAAGTAATGCCTTGCGGATTGAAGCCACATACGAGCCTGCGTCAAGATATCTGAGGAATAGGTAAAATGCGTATCAATTCCTAGTGCTGCTTGGTCCTGCGCATAGTACGAGTGAGAATGGCCATGACCGTACTGCATCTCTGACTCCGCCGTGATGGAGATGTATTGGTTGGTGGAACGAAGGAGCTGTAAATCATCTGCGGTTATGAAACTCGAGTGCGAGAAGACGACTGGGATAGATCCGCCCAAAAGGTCAAATTGTTGAACTTGGGATGCAAGGTTGCTAAATCCCCATGGTCCAGCAAGAGAGTGCGTTGTCACAACCGAGACATTAAACTCTTTGGCAAGATCTGCAACAGTCTGGGCTTCGTTGACATCTGGGTTCGACCCCCAGTAGTCATATGCGATGCCCAGTTCAGCAGGAGAATTACCCAGCAGTGTCTTTTTGTTTTCGGCCATCTCCCGAAATAGTGGGAACTGATCCTCTGCCGTGTAGTTCAGCGAAGTTATATTGTGAAAAGTAAAGGCCCAGAAAACTCTGGCTCCGCTATCGACGGATGCATTGAGTCCGGCATAAGATGTATCCGCCGACCAAGTGTGTGAGGCGTGATCAAGAATTGTTGTCACCCCGCCATTCATGGCTTCATAGATGCCAGCAAGCTGGCTAATGTACACATCGTCTGCTGTGAACTTGTCTGCTGAAAAGTACTCTCCGTAACGATTGAAGTATTCGGTAAGCGATGTATTTGATCCGATTGTTTTAAAGACAGTTTGCCACCCATGGCGATGAGTGTCAATGAATCCAGGGGTTAAGATCTGATTCGATATGTCTATAACCGTTGTCCCAGATGGCAAATTGGATGGCAGTGAATCTGTATTCACATTGGCGATACGGTCGTTTGTGATTAATACAGAACCATTCTGGATTATGCGTAAATAGTTCTCATTGTCGTCCCATGCAATGATTGTACCGCCTGAGAGCAACGTTGAAGCGGCGTGAGCGATGTTTGAGAGCCCAAGAGCTCCCAAAAGCAATTGGTTACGATGCATTGGGAACAGAGAAAGCCGCGGCCGTTAAACACAAATGATAAATAGTGAAGCCTGCGTGTTACAGTATTTCTACAGAGAGTTGGCCCGTTATTTATACAGCGCGTCACGTCTCATATCACCGAGAATTTTCTCGCGAGGCTCATTGGAGCCCATTCTGTGGAACCTTAAAATAGGAGGCACAAGGCATACATTAGCTTGCTTTCAATCAATTGGTCCTTTCTCGAAGGACCCTTCATTGTGAGGCATGTGCGCGAAACTCGAAGTTCTGCCAACCCGCATGGCCCGCGTTGTCCGCGATTGCCACTTATACGCCGGAACGCATACAAATG